ACTGCCTTTCTGCGTTTGCAAAACTTGAAAAATTCTTATTGTTTCATTGCAATGGCATATTTACGGTTTTGTGAATGTAAAAAAATGGCATATTTACGGTTTTGGGGGGATATAACTTCTAGATAGAAGATTATAAAAAAAAAAAAAAAAAAAAAAAAAATCTAGCGTACTTTATAACAATCACAACCAACTGCTACTGTGCCGCGCGCGTATAGAAAAGAGAAAAAAAGTAAACGAGAGTTTACTGCATTTACTACGAAAGCTGTATTTGGTGCTTAACCAAAAGAAACAATACAAATATTTTTCAGAATGATTCTTTTACCGAATTTTGTTGTACATACATATCAGAGCTGCTTTTTGGCTTCGATTTGAAAATTTGTGTCCCCAACTCTTCCTTAATATTTAAAAATTCGTTGACATTACCTTGACTGACGAAATTATGTACATATACCTCTTTCTGCAAATTTTAAAGCCGTCAGCGAATGAAGTATGTTTGTATAGAATTTTTTTAATAAACAATAATTTTTCAATTTTGACATTTTAATTAAAGTCGATCGAGTATATTATTGAAAACTTGAAAAATTTATTCAAAGCTACCTCAGTTTAGAGCATTTTAGTGCGGCACCTAAAAAGATATTTTCTTCTCTTAATTTGATTGAAACTTAATTGAGAAACACCTTTTATGTTGAAATAGTAAGCAACAGTTTAAACTCAAAAGAATTATTTAAAAATATTGATGCGAAGAGTTAGCAACCAAGTGGTGATATTATTAACTTATAATAAGAAAACTTGAAGTACTATTTTTTTTATATTTTGCACCTTCGTGAAGGGCATATTAATTTTGGTATGGAGTTTGTATTCTCTTAAGGGAATCATCTGCGGTGTGGACATGTCGAAAACTCAGTAACGAAAAATGCAATCGACACCAAACTTTCACAAGTTGTTTCTTTTGTGCCAGGGACGAATCCTACTATAATTGGACCGAATCGGACAACAGGTTCGGGTAGCTATCATACAAATCCAAAAGCTAATTTTAAATATTTGGAAAAATATTAAAGTCAGATTCATTTATAAGTAACGTTTCTATAGAATGGTTTCACAGTTTCGATAATTTTCCATACAACAATGAAGGATGTAGGGCATAATTCAATTGATTTATGCCGTTTGAAACGTTTTTACTTGTTTTTTTTAAAAGTACGCTTTGTCAACAGCATTTTAACCTACGTATAAGGAAATGATAAGCCGTTAAACATATGATCAGAAAAAAAAACGTCATAATCATTTTTATGAATTTCTTTACTATTTTAAGGTATTTTCTGATCATCATAACTAGAGCCTAAATTTTTAAAAAAAGTTCAAACAAATAAAGGAATTTTATGTCCTAAGTTTCTTGCTACGTACGTCTCAACAGAGTAAAAATCTATACGGGAAAATCCAATTCAAAAAAAACTTTAAACTAAAGGCACAAAAAATTTAACATGGTAAACAATATTAAGATATTAAAGTTCTTAAAAACTGAAACATTTTTAACAACTCCACATTTGACACAAATATTAAAATATATATACATAATTTACTTTTACAATGAATGAAAATTAATATGAGTGAAAAATGTAAGAAACGTGTTTCAGGCAATAAAAATAAAATAACCAAGAAATAAAAGTAAAATAAAATTAATACGAAATTAATATGAAATATTTTTGACAAATATTTTGATTACATTTCGGTATTTGAAAAAATATAATTATGCATATTTAAGTATAATATATTGATAAATTTCCTGACCAATGCATGATTTAATACAGTTAAAAGAAACTAAAAGTTATAATTGAATATGTAACATAAAAAATTACATTTAATGATTCTGTGGAAAACTACAAGAGATTAAGTGTAGTTTTCATGTGTAGAAAACTATAAGGAATAATAATTTTTTAAATTTAATAACCTTAAAAGTATTTAAGGGAATAATGAAGAACAAAATAATATATAAGTATGATTGTGTACCCGTACGAATGGTTTTATAAATTTTTTACTCCGTTTATAACACTAAAAAATAACGGGATTAGATATAGACGCGAGTATATGTTTCTGATCAGTGTCGAATTCTGGGTCTATTTAGCCATATCAGTCCCAATTCTCACAAATGGTTTATTTTAGTAAATTCCAAAACCTTATTTGAATTGGATGTGATTGAAGTCGTAGTACATGCACTAAAACTACTTCAAAATTTATCTTAAAAACTGTTAAAGTTACAGGATAGAAATTTTTCATAGATAGATAGAAAAAATCATAGATATACTCGTATGATAACATGGTCATTATTTTCGGTGAAAGTTGCCATAGAACCTTACAAGGTATTTTACAATATTGCAGAAAATATAGAAGATTTAATATTGAAATTTCACACAAGGAACTCTTATGCTCGACTCCTTTTGGCAGCTGCCATACAACTTCAAAAGTTTTTGACAATTGAAATGGTTAAAACTACATGTGAAACTGCTGCAAAAACGAAAATAGTAATATTGCCATTATTTTTTGTAAGTGTTGTCAAAATTGTATGGATTTATATTATTACTGCCATGTATAAAATAGCACAATACATTTAAGAAAACAAGAAGTCCTTTAAAAAAGTGTGGCAATTATCATACCAATCATTCATGTGTAAGAATTTCACAAAGTGGGCACGACCAACTTTACTTATTCTCGCTTCATTTTTAAGGCCTATAATTTTAGTTTAATACAACGCAGTGTTGCCAACTCTTTCTTGCTCAGTTTACTATCCTTAGTTCAAAATTCCCAATGTTTTCCCTTTCCATACTCTTTTTTTCCATATAATTTCCGTTCAAGAAACTTTTTATATATACTCAAACATCAAGCATACTTAAATAATATATTTATTTAATCATTTAACAAAACAAAAATATTGCATCTATCCAATTGCGTAATTTATTAATAATGACTACATAAACGAGTACTTTCAAATTGTAATATGTGTAACACTATATCAGTTTAAGAGCTCTAAAATAAATAATATGATTTTTTACTTTTGATCAAGTGCCGAAAGCACATATGATCACTAATAAAAAAAATAAATTAAAATAAGCAAATCAGAGAAAAAAAAATTCAATTGAATTTCCCACAATTTTTGAGCTTTTTCTTTTTTTCCTTTAAAGCTTCAAAATTTCTTAAAAGTGGGAAATTTCCCACGATTTGGCAACACTCCGAATAACTTATTTTATATTGAAATACACAAATATATGAATTATATTAATAAACATATTTTATAAATAATCAACCAAATATATCATCTACATATTATATGATATAAATTAAATAAAAAAATTATCAATATTTTAGAAAAAAATTTCTCTTAGTACTACTATATTCATATTTTTTCGAAATAAAACACGATGATTCAAAGTTTTCTCACATAATTTTCCAAAAATGTGCTTATCTCACCATTTAGAAATGTACAAATGATTTTGATTAATGTTATAGTAAAGTAAATAAATATTCCGAAACTATTATTTTCAAAATTTAGATTTATAGTTTTCAAAATAAATAACGTAAATTTTTTTTTTTGTAAATTTTCAGAGTGTTAAAATTGAAAATTTATTACTTTATATTTAGCTACAAGTAACAAATTTGCAAACATCAAATTATAGTTCAATGGAATAGATTCAAGATAATGTTATAATTTTACGATATTATAATTATAAATATTTGTCGACTATAATTTAAAAAAATTTTTCATGTATGTTTAAATGATGTTTAGACAGTATGTTTAAATGTCATTGTACTGTAAAAACTTTTATCGAACATTATAATTTTATTCCTACAATTATATTATAATTTTATCGTTATCTATCATTATATTATAATTTTATTATCTATATAATGATGTCATTATAATTCAATAATAGCTGATGAGCGATTTTTTCTAAATCGCATTAGCTATTCAATAATAGCTAATGCAATTTCTTCTAAGTTTCTAAATTAGACAGTATGTTTAAAAGCAAGTAAATAACAGTAACTGTTATTTTATCAAAAAATATTAAATATAATAAATAACGAAATGTTATTCATGTAATTCCATCAACTCGTTACGGCATTTTTAAAGTTTTTTCCGTCCTGAAACCGTACAATAATAAACATATTAAGGAACAATGTTAATACATACATGAAACATCGTTCTTTAAAAAAAAGTGTTCATTTGCAAATTATGCTGCTCTAAAAATCATTGATTTGATCCCAATTTATTCTATTTTAAACACATAGAACTTAAGACTTAATCCATATTTAATTTTCACAATTCTGTTTATCATACTCGTATACCCTTACCAAGGCGTCTAAATGATCCTTTCTTCCACCATCATCATTCTACAAAAGCTTAAATTTAGGCAAATGCGATGTATATTTTTTCAATAAATTTATATATTTTAAAAAATTTGCATATGACAAGTTTTAAATTTTAGTCTTTTTTCAATTTTTGATAATATTTACTAATGTTAGATTCTCCGTAATCAAAAGTTTAAAAAAAGGGTAAGTACACCCAGCGCATATAATCTCATGGTTGCTAAATAGAATACTTTATAAAAAATGTGTAAATCTTGTCAAAAGATATTTGCGGTTAATGATTTTTAGACTAGAGTCTAAATTAATTTGGGACATGTGGTTCCATCGAATCACATGTAGCGAATAAAAGAATTTTGTTAACTATTTGAATATATGAATACTCCAAAATATCATTACATTACCTTTGAAAGATATAACCACCGGAAAACGTTTTTCAATTTGATCGAAATCTTAAATTTTTTTCTTTAATATTCTATAATTTCTAATAAATCCCAAGAGATTTGTTTGCTTTTCATTTTTATTTTAATTGTTAATAACAATGAAAGCTAAAAGCCACATAAAACCAAAAAAGTAAAATAAAAACATTACTATTCCTTTTAATTAAAAAAATACATTTTTCACATTTTTATTTTCAGGGTGTAAAATCGAAAATTCATAATCACAAAAACAAAATTAACAGCAACAAAAGATCTAAAAATGCGGCAAAAAATAGAAAACCTCTGGATGCGATGAGACCTCATAGAGCGTAAATAAAAAAAGGAAAAGCAAAAACCTCATTATTTAAATTGTAAAATGATTAGAAGGCAACTAAAATCATCAACAAACATTTACAGCAACACCAACAACAACAAACATAATGAGTAAATGAACCAAACAAAATTCCCTTATTTTCTTAGTTTTTTACTTTCTAACGATAAGCAATAACATAAAATAAAAAAAATACATAATTATATTTTTTTAAATTTAATTACTCAAAAGAATTTAAAATATTAAAAGTATTATTACAATTTCTATTAAAACAAATAGTCGTACATACAGATATATTCATATACATGGACAGTTAATTTATTCTACATAAATTTATAAAGTTCATTAAAAATAAGTAAAACCTATATCAGAGCAAAACAAAAAGATATTAAAATGTCACGGTTACCTGAAAACGATAACATTCGTAATGATATTTACGAGAATTTACCATGTCAGGCAATGTATAATCAATCAGTTCATAAAATTAAACAACAATCCATAACCATTACTCAAGCAAATTTACAAACACAAAATGCGGCAACAGTTCCAACACCATTATCAATTGTTGCCAATAATGATCTAAATAGTTCGTTATTGTTAAATAATAGTAATAATCAACAACAACCAAGTTTAAATAATTCTGCATCTGCTATTGTTGCTTCCTCCAACAACACTGTTGCTATAAATTCAAATAACGCAAAGAAAATAAATTTATCAAAGGAGTTATTATATGCAACACCACTTCGTAAATCAGATCGTTTTAAAAGCAATAATGATTCAACATCACGTAGCAATAATAGTAATAATAGTAACAGTAATAATAGTAATATAAATAATAGTATTAGTAATAATAGTAATAATCGTTTCATTACTAATAATCATAATTATCAGCAACAACATCATAATCAGCAACAACAACAGTATCATAACCAACAGCAATTAAATCGTATTAATAATGATGATATAAATAACATTAAAAGACAAAATAATGATAAATTAACTAATACTGAATATAAATTGATAAATAAAGAAAATAATTCATTTATAACAAAAAATAGTTGTACAACTAATAATATTAGTAATAGTAATAACGGAAGAATTTCACCATCATTAATTGCAGCAGGTAATAAATTTAATAAAAACAAAGCAAAAAAAATTTCGATAATAAAAAATTTAAATTTCAACTATTTTATAATTTCATTGCTTACTGTTTTCTTTTTTTTTCTTTTAATTAATTGTAATTTATTTTTGCTGCAATTTTATTATTATTATTTTATACTTAAATTCTATTTTAATTTTTAAATGTTGATGTTCATTTTAATGTCATTTTATATGTTTTCTTTATTTATTAATTTTTTCGTTTTTTTTAAATTATTTTAGAAATATTTAGTTAAGTTAATATTAAATTTCTAATTAGTTTAGAAATTAGTTAATTAGTTAGCTAGAGTTCATTAGTTTTACTTTTCCTTGCCCGTAAATACTAAAGTAAGCCTTAGTTAGAAATTATTGAATTGAACAAGTGTTCAAGTGCAAAATTTTTCTATTTTGCTTTCGAAGTTGTATGATTTCTTTGAAATCAGCAAAATATAAGCAGAGAGGGTGCGCGTGCTAGAAATTGCTTCTAGTCATTCTCCATCTGCAGTCCATAATCACTCCGAGATAAGGCTAGATTTCTTGAGGTCCATTATATAATCATTTTGGATCGCAAATTCGAAAATAGATATGCCAATCTAACATGTATTTGGGCTACGTACATATCTTACTGTACATATTTATATACAGTTGTTTATTTTTATAAAATTAAATGATTTGAGTTTTTTTTTTAATAAAAGAAAATGCATATATTCATTAATACGGTCTGCTTCAAAATAGCTTATATAATGTTGTCCCACTTATTTATGTGAAAACATCGTGTTAGCATTGTCATAATAAATTTTAGCAACTTTTCGAAATTATATTGGAAAAGAAAAACATTGTGCATTCATTTTTATAATGATTTTTGTTTATCAAATTTTTAATCAAATTAATTTTGATTTCGCATGATGCACATTTTTCAACACGGCATTTGAAATACGAAAAAAACTATGTATGGGTATAATCGGAAAGTAATCGATGTGTAATCATGTAAAAATCACGTACGAAAATGAATCAATACGGTAATACTTTAAAGTTGGGTGTCCAAAAATGTCAAAAATACGCATCGTATGCGCATCATATTAAATCAGCTGTGCATCAATTTTTTTTGCTGTTTTGTATTGATGCAGTTTTTTTTAAATGAAAGCTGAGAAGTTAATAATTTATTATTTTAACTCAATAACTAACAAAGTTAATTATTTCTTTATGTACGGTATTAATATTTTTAAATGTTCCATTATATTAAAATCTGCAAAACTTAATTGAAATTAAAAAAAAAATTTCAATAGATTTTCAGTTGTTAATAATTTTAATACTCTTATACAAAACCTTTTCAAAATAAACGCCAAAAAATATATAATTTAGAAAGTGTCCAAAAAGCCAAAATAATATTGCATCAGCAAGGTAGACGCATCATATCGGTATAGCATCAGCAAATTTTTTTGCATCGCAGCTGCATTGATGCAAATTATTGATTACTTTCCAATTATACCCTATGTTAAAGCACATTACAAAGCAATCACAAAATTTGCAATTCTAGAGGTTGTAGAATTCCATGTAAGTAGAATTTAAAGATTTGCCCAAATTTAAATATTTAAATATAATACAATTTTACAATAACGTAAATACACATACATATAGCATTTTTCCATTAAATTAAACAATTTTGACATCATATTAATTAATCCTTTCTACAAAAGGGTTAATTTCGAAAAAAAAAAGTTTAATTTGAAAACAAAAAGTTTTATTAAAAAAAAAGAAAAAGGTTAATTTAAAAAAGAAAATATGTTAAATTGAAAATAAAAAAAGTTTATTATGAAAATCAAAAAGATTATGTAATTGGAAAAACGAAAAGGTTATTTTAAAGTAAAAAAAGTTAATTTCCAGTAAAAAAAGTTTAATTTAATTTAATGCCAAAATGGTTTAATTTAATAGAAAAATGCCATAATATGTAAACTTAAATGGCGCGGACTAGCAAACAAATCCAAAAGTAGAAAAACAAAAGAATTATCTCCCACCAACTCTCGTTGAATTTACTGATTTCTAGTTTACTTTTTAGCACTTTTCCAAAAAACTTAAAAAAAAAGGACTTAATAGTTTCATTTTTTTCATCCGACGGTCCGGTCAGTCCATGTGTCTGTGCGCGTGTCTATTTACAAAACTCTACGCCCTCCTAACTTCTACAAGATTGAAAGCTGAAATTTTATACGTACATAGATCTTTACTAGAAACTAATTTTCGTAGAACCAAAATTTTACTTATATCCCCCCTCTGAAAGTTAACCCCCACCAAAACCCTAAAAAAGCCATTTTTCAACTATTTATTGTAGTGGAAACATAGGAATTTTCCAAATTTTACTCCTCCCCCTCTCAAGCTTTTTCAAATTTCTATAAATGCAGAAAGCTAACGGTAAATGCCATGCTATTAAAAAATATAATTATTTTTCTTAACTCATGGAATTAGCCCTTAAAATCGAGCATTATGTTAACGCCTCTTTAATTTTTTTTGTTTAATTTCAAAAACTGCATACATTGCTAATCCTAAATGTACGCCAGTGATGACCAATCTTTTTTTAAATTTAGCTAAATGAGGAAAAGCAATCGTTTCTCGGACCGCAGTTATAGCAGATTTATTTTCTAGTTTCGAAATGTTGGACAAAAGTGTTGCAGTTTCCAAAAATGTTGTAGTTTCCAAAAATGTTGCAGATACCAAAAATGTGGGAATTACAAAAAAGTTGCAAGCACTAAAAATGTTGCAGGACTTAAAATTGTCTGCACCAAAAGTGCTGCAAAAATATGTTACAATGTGGAGATTGAGGACAGCTCGGCTTGCTGAGCATTATATAAGCGTGGTTTTTTAATTTTTTAAAATTTTATCAAACTTATTTTATTATTTTTTTGTATTGGTGAAAATTAATCGATTCAAACCATGCTAAAGCTAAAAATTTGTATATTGAATTAAATTTTTTAGACTGTGTTAAAACAAAACGGTGTACAAAAGATCTGAAATTTTTTGGAATTTTATTTTTTAACAAATATTAACATTAGATCTTTATATTATAAATCTATCAAAATTATATTAAGGAAATCATTTTAGAAAAATTAGAAAAGAAATTATTCTATGATCCATTATGTGTTATTATTACCACTTTGATTTTTTTATTTTAAGCTTCTGGTAAAACAAATAACGATATTGCCACAAATAGTTTTGAGGAACGTCGTATTTTAAGTTTTCTTAAAGACACAACACAATGTCAAAAAAAACTTGATATGATATCAAGTGGTAAAGATTGCCCTAATTCAAGTTTTTCATGTTTAGCACGCGAAGAACATTTCGCAAATTTAGTACAACAAAATTTTCATCAAATAGATACAAATGCAATAACGACAGATTCACAAAAATTTAATAGTATCACAACACAATCAAAGGATATATCAACAACTGTATTATCAATAGCTGATGAAACAGCAAAACTTATCGATGAATCTGTTAAAAATTTTCATTCTCAATCACAAAAACAACAAAATATTTTACAAACAGATCACCTTAATTCATTTGGTGTAACACAAGATTCAACAGATAATATAGAAATACTAATGGATAAAAAATTATCACCAGATAAAGAAGTAAATGGTTTTATTGTGTCATCAACACCATCTACAGCAAGTAACAATGCAACGATAGTAGTTGCTGCATCAGCTAATCCATTACCCATACGTCATTCCAGTAATGTTTACATTAACCGTGAATGGGTACTAAAAAAAATTGCTTTGTGTTTAGAACAAAGAACAACTGGTAAAAAATCTAATACATCAGCAAAATTAGAATTGTCTGTAAAAGAATCTTCTGTATCTGCAAGCTCATTCTTACCAAGGCCGCCAACTGGTAATTCAAGTGGCATAAGCTCAGCTGGTATTGGTGGTTCAACGTCAACTTATCATGGTTGTTTAGTATTAGGGTCTAATGGATCTGGTAAAACTGCTATATGTCAAGCAATAATGAATGGTAATTCTGGTACAAAAGGAATATTAAATCGTAAATTGCTTGCATGTTATTTAATCAATTCACAAAATCCAGATTGCCATAGTTTAAGCCTATTCATTAGAAGTATTGTATTACAAATTTTAAGTCACTCCAGTGTGATCTCAAAAGATGATATCGGAAAAGTATTTGATGAAACATTTGGCCAAACAGGAGAAAATATTAGTAATAGTTTTAACGAAGATTTAAATATACAAACTCAACATGCACAAACTAAAAATAAAAATGGAAATGATAATAATTTGAATCGTTCTCAACAGAATAATAGCAATTTAGAAGAAGAGCTTTTAATAGCTGAACTTAAATTAAGTGGTGAACTAGATGAATTTGCTGCTACAAAACCCTCGAGCGAAAAAAATAAAGAAAGTAAAGATGATGTTAATTCTAGGAAAGTTGTTCAAAGACAAAAATCAGCACCATCACCAGAAAAAATCAGTGTTGATGGGGAAGAATGTGAAAATGCGGAATGTGTAACTAAAAATAGTTATGGGACACATCCACCCAAGGCCAATAAAATAAATAAAGGAGAAAAAATTAAGGAATCTGACCGTGAGAAACAAATTCAAGATCAAGATAAGGTAATAAATAAAAAACTTTTCTTTTTTAATTTTTATAGATAGGATAAGAAGGATATTGAAAATTTTTTGTCTGTAGTTCAGTCTGTAGTCAGACAGCAAAGATCTGACGCGTTCAAATTTGCATTTAATTTTTTGCATTTATTTTTGCAATAATTTGCTTTTTGCAAAAAATGTCGCATAAAAAAATGTTTACATTTAATTTTTTTGGAAAAAAAAGTCGGTAGAAACATGTATTTTTCTCGATTTCCTTTACTTTCATTTCTAGTGATTATTCTTGATAAGCTTTTTGCATTTAATTAGTTTTAAAAATTCATAATATAAATTTTAATTTTTTTTGCAGAGGCTTGAATTACCTATAATCTATTGTTGTGCTTAATATTATTAGATTTAATGTCTTATTTATGCTACCATGTTTAAATGAGTATCGTTAAGAGTCTATCAAATCAGATATTTCACTACAATTTCTTTTTTTTTTTTTCAATTTCAATTTTCAAAAAAATGCTTTATTTATTTTCTTTTTACATTATAATTTTAATTTTTATTACATTATTTTAACCTAATAAAGCTTAGGACTACTTTCAAATTTTTTTTAATTTTTTCATTACTGGCTCTCTGCTGGAGCACTTTAAGGAATTCGCTTTACTATAATTTTACATACATTTGTTTTTTTTTATTTTATCATTGCTCATTTTTTTTAGATATTTAACTGCACCGTTGTAATCCTTTTTTCCATTTTATTTTAAAAAATTTTATAAGGAGATGTAGTCTATCTATGTATGTCATATGAACCTTAAGGATAAAACTTAGTGTTATACGAGGGTGTATAACTTTTATTGTTGCTATTATAATTACTGCTATGCTGCTATTCTAAAATGTTTGAAAAATATTTTGACATAATTACATATGTATGTTCTACATGTCCGTGTTTTTATAAATTATCAACATTTTTAATCTTTTGAAAACTTGACTCTGTTGGGGATTTCCATTCTTGTTTTGGAAAAATTTATAAGTCGTATGTATTCGGATGACGCTCGGCTCGTACTTTATTATGCATATGTATTATGTTCGCAGTTTGGAATTGATCAAAGACTTTATAGAAACAGTATATGTATAATATAATATTTTGTTTTCCTTTTTTAAAATAAATACGTATTCTTCTTATATCCAATTTCTTATTGAAATATCCATTATCTTGAAATATCAATACGTATTTATTTTGAATGATAATCTCGGTTTCGATACTTTCTTTTCATTTTTATTTGGCCAATCTCAATTCTGTATAACACGAATTAAATTCTAAATTATTAAGTAGTAATTTTATTATTTTTCTGTTTTTGAGATGTTCGACAATGTGTTGATAAATGGTCCAACAATTTTCAGTAAATTTTTCATTTTTTTTTAGGAATAAAAAATTTGGTCTAATTCTACCAATTCTATCGTAGCGCTGAAAATAATTTTTTATATTTCAGAAGCCATTTTAATATTAATTTATATTTATGTTAATTTACAAATTTTGATTTTAGAGTGTGTCTAATTTGAAAGAATTTGGTAAAGCAGAAGATGGTAAAGGCTCAAACAAATCAAGTCCTAATAAAAAATCAAAAATTCCTATTTCAATATCAGGGCGGTCAAATAGCAGTATTACAATGACATCTGTTAATAGTAATGGTCAAGCAAATCCCACTAAATCCGCTAATAATACAACAATTCAGCAAGGCGGAGGAGAAGATATAGCAGATGTTTTAGGGGATGAATTAAAAAATGAAATTGAAGCAGAAATAAATGATGACAGCGCAGCTGAAGCTAATAAAGATCTTAGTAAAACAGCTGAATCACCTACAGAATCTGCAAGTAAAGACATTATAGAAACAGAAAAACTACATCAAATCAATAATGATGATTATAGTACTGAATTAGAAAAAAATTCAGAGACTAATTCTCAAACTGAATCAGAAAGGTATCAACCAAAAGAGAGTCCAAAAGAATCCTTAGCTCCACTTGCTTCACTTTTGTGTTCTGGGGGAGCTCAAATAAAATCCGCAACTGGTACAATAATACCACCACCACTACCAAAACCTAAAAGTTGTCGTACTGTTATTGCAGATAGCTACTATGAAATGTTAATTAGTAATCCCGAAATTTTTGAGTGTCTAAATGTTGACAACATTGAAAAAAATCCCGATGAATGTTTTAAAAAAGCTTTGCTGTTTCCATTATTGGAACTGACTCCGCCGCGTACAGCTTTGCTAATGCTAATCGATTCAATTGATGAGAACTACATTAATGAGGGAAATTTAATATCGACTCTCAAAGGTCGTACTATGACACAAAAATCAAGAAACATTGCTGAATTGTTGTCGAATCATATACATTTGTTTCCAAAGTGGCTTTTCTTAGTTTGTACAACTAAAAAACAAACAAAGCATATAACAAAAATGTTTACAGGTTTTAAAAAAATTACGTTGGACGATCTACGAAAATCGCACGTCGTAAAAGATGTTCAAGAATACATTATTAATCGCTTGAATTCGGATTTCAAAGGTAATATTAACTTTTTTTAATACTTTAGTTCTGTGTTTTTACTCGTATTTGGAAACAAATTTTGTAATTTTTATATATTATCAAAATAGTAATTATGGTTACACATGATTAAATTTTTTTTGTGTCCATCTTAAACTAACGTTGAGTATATTCCACCAATTCACAATGCTCAGAGAGTAGTTTAAAAATAATTTACCAAATTTATATGTAAATAAAATAGTATTGAATATTATTTGTTTCAAAGATATTTAAAAAGTATAATATTTGAAAGTAATTAGAAAGCATTTAAAAGAATTCAATGTATTAATTTAGAGAAAGCTCTTATGACAAAACCCCTTTAAAATAAAGAAAAATTTCCTTTAAAAAAGACACTTTATTTATGCTTATATATATATTTTTTCGCGCAACATACATATTTCATCAAAACTTCTGTATAATAAAACGTAGAAAATTTTTTTATTTTTAGAAAAAAACATAATTTTATAAGCCAAAAAAAACCTTAAGAAAATGCTTGTCAACTTTTACTACATGTGAAAACTCAATATGTAGACGATTTTGTATAAAACATTAAAAATTTTCGTCTTACTTTTAAAAAATACTCATATTAACTCTCCCTGCGGTATTAACTTCAAATATTCAACAGTTCTAGCACTACCAAATTTTGAAGCAAAACAAAATTATTTTAATAAATAATTAATTTTATCATTTTTAGGAACTATAAATTTGACTAAGGAAATCATCGAAAGTTTACATCAGTTGTATATAAAATCAAATGGATGCATTCTTTATTTAGAAAAAGTACTTAATGGGATCAAAGATAATTTTTTTTCATTTCGAGAAATTAAATTAATACCATGTACTTTGAATGGATTATATCTGTATATATGTCAAAAATCATTTAACAAGAAACAATATTCAAAGGTTCGGCCAATATTAAATATTTTACTGGCTTCTACTGGATTCGTTGACCGCTTATTCTTGTTTAATTGTTTACGGGCTCAAAATTATACAATCGATTTTGGCGAATTTGAAAAGCGTTTAGAATTAATGAAAAACATTTTAATACACGATGGTCTGAAAAATTCAAAAATAAAATTATTTCATAACTCTTTTGCTGATTGGTTAGTTGATGTAAAGTTTGCTACAAAAAAATTTATTTGCAATGTTAATGAAGGCCATGTTCTTATTTCGATGTATTATATGTTAGTAAGTGACATTTTATGCGCAAATAGCGTTCGAAGATTTTGTTATCATCTTATAAAGTCTGGAGATTATCTAACAAGTAAAAATATTAATATGGATCTAATATTAATGCTTTTGGAATCTCGAATTAATTTAAGTGATTGCTTTTATACCAACGCATTGAATTGCTGCTCTATCTGTGAAAACGAATACCGCAATGACCCGAATTTTTTGCCAAAAACAAAAGAAATGATAAGAAAATTTTTAAATAATGAATTAAATAACGATTTTTCTGTATTTTTGTGTGATTTCTTTAAACCAAGTTTACCCACAGACCCCAAAACCTTGAAATTATTAATTGAAACAGGAATAAATAATGCAGAATCTCAGGTAAAAATATATTTAGAAAACATATGTTAGAAACATAAATTTTCATTTAAAAATTCTCAGGCTTCTTGCGATTCGTCTCTAATTTCACCGGAACTATCCGAAAAATCAACGAATATCGACTTTGAACTTGCTGATTTATTACTTTCTAGCGAAAAGGCTTGTTTAGAGGAAATCCAAAGACCAAAAAGTTCTTCTGATAAATCAGATCAACGTAATGCTGAGAGTCAGGATGATAACACAAGCACATTACATCAATTGTCTGATTCACACCGCATTGAAATGCATAAGGGCAAGGCACTAATTCACATATTAGCTAATGACGGTAATGCCCATTTACTAGAAAGAGCGTTAAAGGCATGTAAAGGACCTATTGATTTAGAAATTGAAGATTACAACGGGCAAACTGCTTTAAATATTGCTGCCAGAAATGGTCATTTAGACGTCGTAAAACTATTGCTACATTTTACTCAACCTCTAAACGATGGAACTGGTCGTATGAAACGAGTTGATGTTAATCATGCTGATCGTGATGGTTGGACACCTCTACGTTCCGCGTCTTGGGGTGGTCATACTGAAGTTGTTAAATTATTAATAGCTCATCCAGGGTGTTCAATTGATTTGGCTGATAAAGAAGGTAGAACTGCTTTACGAGCTGCCGCCTGGTCTGGCCATGAAGATATTTTGAAAATACTAATAGAAGCTGGGGCTGATGTCAACTCAGTCGATCGACAAGGAAGAACTTCTTTAATTGCCGCCTCTTACATGGGACATTATGACATTGTTGAAATTCTCTTAGAAAGTGGAGCAAATGTTAATCATTTAGATTTAGATGGTCGAAGTGCGTTATGTGTTGCAGCCTTATGCGGGTCATCGGGATATAGTAAAGTTATTTCAACACTTTTAGAACATGGTGCACACACCGATCAATTAGACAATGATGGAATGTCTCCTTTACTGGTTAGTTCTTTCGAAGGAAACTCAGAAGTATGTGAATTGTTGTTAGAAAACGGCGCGGACCCTGATTTAGCTGATTTTATGGGCCGAACACCTTTATGGGCTGCTTGTACAGCTGGGCATGCTAATGTTGTAAAGCTTTTATTATTTTGGGGATGTGGTATTGATTGCATGGATGCTGAAGGACGAACTGTTTTAAGTATAGCGGCTGCTCAAGGTAATGTTGAAACAGTACGTCAGCTTTTAGATCGCGGTTTAGATGAGACTCATCGTGATAATGCGGGTTGGACTCCATTGCACTATGCTGCTTTTGAAGGGTTTCACGAAGTATGCGTACAAATATTGGAATCTGGTGCCAAAATTGACGAATGCGATAACGAAGGTAAAACTGCCTTACATTTAGCTGCACAGGAAGGAAGGCAGAAATGTATTCAAGCGCTGCTAGAAATTCATGATACATTTATGGATCAGAAAGCCCATGATGGAAAAACCGCTTTTCGCTTAGCGTGTCTAGAAGGGCATGTTGACTGTATACAAACTCTTTTGAAATTTGGCTGTGATGTTAATTCAAAAGATGCAGACTCAAGAACTACCTTATATATTTTGGCTTTAGAAAATAAATTAGATGTGGTCAAGTATCTACTGGATGTAACAGAAGTTGATGTTAATATACCAGATAGTGAAGGTCGAACCGCCTTGCATGTTGCTGCTTGGCAAGGGCACGCCGAAATGGTTAAACTTCTTATAACGTTAGGTAAGTTAAAAATTATGCATCAAAAATTATAAAAATATCATCTACGCTATCATCCCAAGGTAATGCAAATGTGAACGCTATGGATTTAGAATGTCGTACACCTTTACATTCTTGTGCTTGGCAAGGGAATCACGATGTCATGACTATTCTATTATACTTTGGGGCCATTCCCGATCACGCTTGCAAGCAAGGAGCTACAGCACTAGGCATATCGGCGCAAGAGGGTCATGATAAATGTGTTGCTATTCTTCTGAAGTACGGAGCTAATCCATATAAATCAGATCATTGCGGTAGAACACCAATTAAGCTCGCAGCGAAATCAAATAGAAATAATATTTTAAAGATTTTTGAAACTTTCGCTAAAAGTAAAACTATTTTTAAAATATTTTTTTCAAAAAAAACTTATAAAAATTATAATTTCTAGATGAAACAAATATTGAACATCAAAAAATTCATCCAAATATGTTAAGATCGCCGGATCAACCGCAAGCGCCACCATTTCTGACAAATCAAATGGCGCATATGCTCCCAAATAATAACAATGCTCCACCAACAAATGTTTTGAACGCATCTAACTCTACGCATAGCAGTAATTTTTATGAAAATACAATGCAATCAGATAATAGCAGTTTACAAAAACGTAAAAGTGTAATATCTAGTCAATCAACTGGTAGCAGTAATGATGTTAGTTTAATTTTTCTTTAAATTTTCTATATATTTTTTTTGCTCTATTGATAACATGTTATATTTTTAGGCTCCCCTGTCATTTACGCAACAACTTCAACGACACACAAAAATGAATTCCAGGAATAATCCATTTATCCAAAATACCCCCATTGTCAATACCAAATATCCTAAAGGACAACAGCGGCATTCACAAATGCTTGCAGATTTAAATGAGTATCAAATGAATATAGGTAAACAATAATCCATTTAATTATTATAATAATATTATATCTCTATAATAAAAAGCTAATGAATTCGATAGCTGATTCCAATTTAAAGAAAATTTTATAATCTTAATTTTTATAATGAGAAAATGCAGTAGTCTACATTTTATATATTTATGTATGTCTATATGTATTTTATTAGACAAATCAAAAAAAAAGTGAAAATAAAAATTCTGCAATTTTTTTTTTAATTCCATGCAGAAATCGGATCCGTTTCCGCTTTTGTTAGTTATGACAATAATAACCATTTGATTTTCTGTTAATTAAATTTTATTAAAAACTATCTACAACATGAAATTCACCACACTGGTTCTTATATTCTAGTCGATATACAATCAATATAGTTTGAGAAGAATCAAAATAGCTTGTCTTGAAAATGTCAGCTGCATTTTGATTAAAAATTATTAATAATTGAGAAATGAAACAGTAAAAATTAAAAGAAAGTAAAATTAGTGGCAATTGTTTGAGCTTGCACTTTTTGTTAAATCTTTTAAAATCTTGAAATTGAAATGGTTTGTTTTACTATATCTCCTGCACCTTAAATTATTTTTTAGCGTTTGATTGGTTAAATTAAAGCTTAAGTAACAAAAAAAATTTTATAAAAAAATTTCTTTAAACTTTGAAAAAATTTCATAAAAATTGTCGGGACAAAAAAATAGTAAAAAGATAAAAAAATAGGAAAAATTTAAACTTTTCTTATTCTTCCCAAAAGCACATGTATTCCCAAAAGTACATGTATAACGTGAAAAAATATATTTTAAGTCATCGATTAGCCTTTCACAAAATGTTGGTTTGAAACTTTTCAGCCCTATTATGAGCTTTTCGTTCATAACTCCGAAATTCGGAAAATTTTGAATTTCATATTCTCATTTCCGAATTACTAAATTCCTACTACGAATATTCGCAAAAGAGTAATCATAAAATACGTTCGCAGTAAAAATGACGCAACGAAAAAAATAATCTCACGTAGCAAGCAATTTAAACAGAGTGGTTGTTTGAAATTTTTATGTTTCCAACTTTTTCGTTGAAATTTGAGTTCTTTCAACACAGCTACTATGAAAAGAAATGAATTCATATTTGCTAAAATTTTTTTGTCACTTTTTAAAAACTAAAAAAAAAACTGCAAAACTCCTTTTAACAAATTTCTTGTTTTATGAAAGTTTTGTACTCAAATAGTAACAAAAAACATAAATAAACATTTGACAGTTGAAACAAAAAAATGATTTAGACACTCCGAAAAATTGTGTTGCTATTGCTGATTCATACAAAAGGGATATGTGATCATTTAAAAATCTACGTCGTAGCTAAGTTCTTAATTCGTAAAATTCTATGGGGGGAATTCATGATAGAGCTGTTTATCTTTTTTGAAACAAATAGCAAAAAAACTTACGCATGTTAAAATTTTCTTAAAATTCCTGTATCTCGGAAACCATTAAAATTTGGCACAATTACACATTCCCATTTTTGAGCCTCTAACCGATGATATAATATTCACTCTCTGGTAAATGTTATCACTATTGTACCTGGCAAGCAGACTTGCTCAACTTATTCTTCGTAATTTTTATACTTATTACAATTTTTATACTTATTACTTATAATTTTTTACTTATTCTTCGCGTTAATTTATACTTTTCATTTATTCTTAACTTAATTTTGTTTAATTTAATAAATTTAAAAAATTTAATTGTTTAGCGCCAAATGTGCAATCAAATGATGCTGATATGTTTGATATGGAGTGTATGTCGCCATTATATGCAACACCACCGCATTCTCCAAGTAGTGATTTAAGTTCTCCAGGACAATTGCCACAAAATCATGTATTTGAAGAAATTGGCGGAAATCATATTGGGTTAGGTAATGGATTAGCTGCAACACATAACATCGGCTCATCGCAGAAAAATGCATCTTCAACTGACAATCATTTTGCCAGGGACACTCATATGAGAATTATATTGGGAAATTGCAAAGACTCAAATAATTCAGCTAAGTAAGTAGGAAAATAATATATATATTTATAATAAAATGCGTATATTTATATCAATGAATCTTTTTAGTAAATCCAAAAGAAGTGGAATAGCAACAAATCCTGCTATGCGTCTTATACGAAGCCGTTTTGATTCTGCAGCAAATTTAATTAGAAGAACAAACAATATGCTTTCAAGTAATAATCAAGGCTCGTCAAGTATTGGTGTTAAATCTGGAACATTTCAGTGGCGAAAAGAAAGTCAAATGTAAAAAAAACATATTTATGGGAAATATAATAAGTAAATCTATAAGAAATAATAATTTATTTTTTAGTTTGATATAATATTATAATAGTGTTATGACCAAAAAAAAGTTAAATCTCGAATAAAAGCTCTTTATTCATTATATATTTATATATGTATATATATAAATGTATATCACATATATATATATACATATATATTCATGACTAATAACTAACATATTAATTTAATTATTTTAAATTATTTAAAATAATCTTGAAAAAATATTTAATTCGTAGAACAATAAAAATGTAACGAAATCGACAACATTATGTAATGTACTGAATATATGAAAAAAAAAAACAAAGAAAATTAAACAGAAAAATTTAAAAAAAATATATAGCACTATATTATACCTAATATTGTAATAATATTTATACTTTTTGAACTCAATAATTTATTTAACTAAACGTATTAGTATTAAAAGGCCTATAGAACTTAATTTTTTTAGGTTAAATTTATTTAATAAGAATAAAAGCTGTTTAAATTAAATTAGTTAAAATATTTAAGAAAAACAAAATAAAAAAGCGAAAAGACCAAAATCCAATGGCTTTTCATTAAAAATTCATTAAAATTATTTATTTATATTTTCGTTTTTTGTTTTACGATAAATATAATATTCTCATTTTTTAAGTTAAGTTTGTGATGTTATAAAAACGAAATAATCTTGCGACAGGCCTATATTTAATAATATAATGTATTCAAAATAATCAAAAGCATATTTGTGCATATACATATATATGTATAATTAGTTTATGTGTATATATATATATATATATATATATGTATTCATAAAATCCAAAATAAGCAAATTTATATTTTATTATTGCACTTATGAAAATAGAACATATTTAGAGAAGAAAGAAACATAAGGATCACGTTAAACCAATAGTGTTAACAACTATTATAAATAAACTAAATAAGTTAACTAAATACGTAAAAAAGCAGTTACTTAATAAATAAAATTTAAAAGAAAATAAGAAACCAATAAAAAATTTTAAAATGAACACATATAGTAAATAAAATATAATTTATATTTTAACTTATATTTAAATATAAATTTAGCAAATGATAAATATTTATTAGATTGCTTTTGCCCTATGGAAATTATTAACACAGTTTTTACATCCTTGAAAAATTTTTGTGATTGTTTTCCAATAAAATGCATGTTGAATTGAATTAAAGTTATGATCAAATGTTTAATTGTTTGTTCTTATTTTTTATATGCAAGTCCTTACAATTCTAAAATTGTAACAATTTGAAGATTAAAGTAATCAATCACATCCATATTTTCTACTAAGAATAAAGAGTAACAGAAAGAAGCCTTAGCTAAAAAAAGTACAGCATTTTTCTAAGCATATTGGAACATCGAACATTACTGTCATATTCAAACGAATTCAATGCAAACGAATTTTAATGTTTTTTGGGTAAATATACGTAAAAAAAGAAATGTTTTAAATGCTTATTTCTCTATAAACAACTTAGAAATCGCAATGTTTGATTTTCACTGTTGTACCAAACGGGCAATATGTTCTTTTGACACTAAATTTTTAAACTAATATTTGTTTTATAAAATAAGGGTATCTATTTTTTTCATAAAAATTATGTTAAATGTTTATTCATGTTACTCTTTATTATTAGGTTTTCAATTAGATTAAAGTTTTTGAAAATTTCTGAAATACATACCAAAAAAAAAATTTGCTACAATTTTAAATGACTCTATAAAAATTAGTAATTAAAGTATCTATTTTCAAATCCAACTCAATCATACTAATAATACAACAATTTGGTTTTAAGTTAAAATATTAAGAACATTTTCGAGTTGTGTAATACAAATATAATTTTTTTTGTATTGAAATATCCCGTGACTTCAATAATGCTTTAAAAAAGATTTAAATACGGTATTAATACGGTTGTAGTACCATTTCAGAGCTTTCAATACCTTTACATTGCAAAAAAAAACTACTAAAGGTTTTCGTACATTTTGGAATACAATTTTAACCATATCAGTACAACTTTGACGTTTATTTGAAAATTTCAATTAAAAGTTCTGTTCAAATGTTAATTTTTATAAAACATTTTATGCATTTTAAAAGAAAAAAATTTATAATTAGAACTTCATTTCTGAAAATATATGCTAGTTTATTTTATCGGTTATGTCTGGCAACATTTATGTTTTTCATACCCGATTTACTTTTATTTTACGTCTCCACTACGTATAAAACGCATTTAGGAAAAGTGTACAATGTCAAGAGCTTTTACTAAACTTTTTGGAACTTGATACTTTGTAAAATCGTGAGCGCATTATTGAAGTCACGAATTATTTTTTTCAAAACTTTTAATCACTACCAATAATTTTATTGCATAATGTCTATTTAATTGCACCAAGTTATTCTTTAAAATCTCAAAAAAAAAGGATAAATTTTTATTAAAGAAATATATATGTATAAACATATGTATACACATGTAGCTTGAATATATGTATGTAGTTATTTAATAGATTTAGGAAAAATAAAAATACATTTATTATTAAAAAGTAAAATTTCTTGACAGAAAATTTGAGAAGAAATCAAAAAAATTAATAAACTTATAATGAGAAAATGTATTGGATTGAATTAAATTAAAAAAAAAAGTTTTAAAAAAAAATGTAATGGCCTCAAAAATTAATTAAATGCACATACATAAATGTATGTACGTATAAGAGGAATAAAATAAAAGTATTAATAATTCTGATCTGAATTTTATTGCCACCGGAAATATTACCAAACACTTTTTAAAATCTTTAAGCATTAAATCTTTTATTTAATTTTAAAATCAAAACTAAACTCATACAAAACTTAACTTTAAAATTTATTCTTTTGAATATGATTCACTGTAGATTGAATTTTATAAAACAAGAATTAAGTTTTTTTTAAATCTAGTAAACTTGTAAGGTAGTAACTAAGTTTACGAAACAATTTAATAATTTAACAAAATATTTGTAATAAAACAAGAACAAAGTGCACAAAAAAGTTGGAAAACCTTTTAAATTTAGTTAGTTTAAAAAGTTATGTATAGGTAAATATGTACATATGCTTATAACTTTTACTGCCGATGTTAATTCAATTCTTACTGACTTTTTTAAGTTTAAAACTTAAAGTAATTAAGTTAATACGTTAAATGGCTTCTTGTAGAATAAACATCAATACTTCACATCAAGATCATCTGCCAATTTAATATGAAAATTACTTTTGATTGCATAAATTTAAAATATAAAAAAAAAATATTTTGCTAATTAAAAAAATTTATTGCAGTAATAAAATACAATTTTGAATTTTGGTAAAATAACAATAACTTATTTTATATGAAACTTTTTATTTTATGAGTATCTGTATATTTCAAGCTATTATTATTATTATTATTATTATTATTATTATTATTATTATTATTGTTATTATTATTATTATTATTATTATTATTATTATTATTAATATTATTAATATTATTATTATCATTATTATTATTATGTTTATTATAATAATAGTAAGAAGAAGAACATTATTATTATAAAAATATTTAAGTCTTATTATGATAAAAAGAAATTACATTACAAATTATCACAAACTTAGAAAGTAGAAAAATACATAAAAAATTACATAAATTAAAATAAAAAACTATAACATTTAAAACTCTTTAAGCTTTTGTGAAAATATATTATTTAATTTTTATTAATTCTGTAATTCTAAAATTTCAAATATGTAGTATGTTTTTAAAATAATTTATTTTTTAATTTTATGGTTTTTTTATTTGCGTTGTAAATTTTGTTTCAAAATTTTTTAAAATAATTATTGTTGTCTCCCAACAAAAATTTCGGAATAAAATAAAAATGGATAAATTTTTATAATTTTAGAATTAGTTTTTTATATCTAGTCTACTCTATTCCAAAAATTTATAAATTTAATATTATATTGAACAAAATATTATATAAAAGTTTAAAATAAAAATTATAAAAACATTACTTTTCGAACAAATGGGACAAACTTCAAATTTTTTAAACAATTTCTTCGGTTGTTTTCTTTTTAACAAGGACATCAATAAATTTTAAATCTTAACATGCTAAATATCTCTTTTAACTACATATTGTCAAAGTATCTTTTTAAACATAGTTTTGAAAATAATAACATTTTGTTATTGACCATAAAATTTGCGCCAAAACTTAACACGAAAAATTTTTTTAGTACAAAATGATTCTTTTAACCTACATATAATTATGCTCTATTTCAAAATGTCAAGTAAAGTAATGAGGTCTAATCAAAAATAAAATAAAGAGCGTGACTATCAAAAATTTACAAAATAATTAACGACTTACATATATGTATGTACATGCATATATAAAATAGGAAAGGAGATGAATAGCAGAATAATTTTATAAAAGTTTTTAAAACTTTTAATATGTAGGATATTGTTAAAATTACATAATTTTGAAAAGAAAACAACTGCATACTAAAAACATAAATGTGTATTGAAAAATGATAGTTGAATAAAAAAATTATATAACGTCAATCAATAAATTAATTATTACATACTTATATATGTATAATTAAAAAAATGAATATAAAAATTCATTATTTATAAATGTAATGTTTATCTTTAATAAGAAAATGAAACAAAAACATTTGATGAAAATATATACATAATATCAAAATAAAATATTTATTTCATTAAAACCAAATAAGTTTTATTTAAATTCTGAGAATAATCTTCATGCCATTAGTTGACTTTGATCAAGCCACTTGTCACTTTCAAAGTTTTAAGAAACTTTCCAATTTTTTTTGCTTTAATCAAAATTTTTTACAAATTTTTCCATTGATATTGTACAAAACACAAAATATTAGCCTTTATTAATACCCTTGGCTATGCAAGTCGAATGGATTAGGCGAATCGAAGGATATTTTAAATTATGATCGGCGAATGCTTTCAGTCCCCAGATCTAAAATATTGCTTCCGCAAGACGTTAAAAAACCCACAGAAAAAAATAAGGTTAACACCACATACATATGTACATTTTTTTGCTCTTTTGCAAAAACAATTGAATTTTTCTATAATTTAGCAATTACGGGGTGGTTGTCCATTAATTTATTTAAATGATCGAATTGTTTTAATTCGTTTTTTCACGCTTAAATTAATATTAAACAATCAACCTTTTTTACAATACTTTGTAGAATTTTATGAAATTTCTTTACAGATAGAATATCCAATAAAAAATACTTATGCATAAATCTAATATTTCATTCGCCAAGCTTGTCACACAGAATTTTCATTCGATAGATTTGACAGCTCATTCGCCAAAATTTAGGCGAATTCGCTAATTATAATACCAAAAATTCATATTCGCCAACAATTTCATTCGCTTCGCCGATCATAATAAGAGCTTAAATGTACCATTACCATAAAAAATAATGTACTTTTGGGTCTTGTTCATTTCGTTTCAAAGATTTGTTACACTGATGTTAGGTCTAGCAAGCCAAATATGTACATATACACGTATATGTACATATTGTACATGGTATATGTATTGCTCGCGAACCATAATTACACTATATGTCTTCGGTTATATGTTGAACTGATCACAATTGACGTCGTGAAAAGGAAGATACTTTTCCATAGTGCACTAGGTCCTCGATTAACGACGGCGATGCGTTCCGGAAAACTGCGTCTCAAGTCGAATCGTCGTTAAACAAAGCTTTTTTTAAAGTATGTATGTGTATTCATATATATGAACATAAATACTTGCATATTTATAAGTTAAATTTTCATGTATAGGATACCACGGCTGACAGAAATACGGGTCTGGACCTTAAGAGAGAGTGACAGTTCACAGCTGACGAATTTACATGTATTCTTAGGAGATCTATAGAGGGCCCTTTTTAACATCATAAATCTCCCACAAGATCAACTTTTTTCAAATTTTTAATTAGAAAAAGTTAAAATTCAATCTTTTTCTAGTTTACTAGTGCTTACATTTTTAAGGTTTTGTTAATTTTTTTAAGATTTCAATAAATGTTACACTACAAGAGAAAAAAAATAGTGCAATTTTTTTTCGAAATATTAAGTTGAATTTTGTGTATTTTTTTATTTGAGAAAATGTAAATTTTATTTTGCTAATTTTGTATAATATATCTCCCAAATTGCATACTTCTTGTGTAATCACGAATATATCTACAATATATTTTTCGTGTGTATACTATATTAATAAAATTCATAATTCGTTAACATTATATCATTTGTGAATTATATTTATACTTAACGTCCACATAATTCTTTTTAGGAATGTATGTAATTTAGTTTTATTATGAAATATTTTCACATTGTGAAAATGCTAATTCACTGTTTTACCTAAACTATCGCTTCAGAAACTTTGAAACTTATAGAAGTTTCTTTATAATATTTTTATTATGTTTGCTTTTATACAGGGGACAACTTAAAACGACGCATCTTTAATAATAATCATAGAATTTTAAAAGCACTTTCATAATTATAAAACAGAAAATCAAATAATTACAAACTGATGTTAAAATCTAATAAAATTTATATTAACTTTATTTTAAGTCGTGTATTCTAGACTAAAAAAATATAGCACCAAATTTTTTTTTTATTCACTGTATTATCATTTTTTACTCTCCATTCTCTCAGATTGTTGTCTGACATGGCGGTACAAAAAAATGCGAAAAAAACTCGAAAATATATTTAATCAAAATTATAGTTAAAATTTTGAGTTGAAGTTTTAACTTTGGATATGTTGCTCCAAATTTCATTTTAATATAAAAATTTTTAGGTTTTAGTCAACTTTTTGTATAGCAAACTCGAAATGAAAATCATAAATTTTCTAAAAAAAAACAACAAAAAAAAAAGAGAATTTTTAAGAAATGTCATTTCGCCAAAAATTCATATGCAATTTTAAAAATACATTCACAAAAAAGCAGGGTCCAGGCCTTGATTTTTTTAATGTCAAGGTCCAGAGACAGGCGTCTTTATATAAGACTTGACAGTACGCAATTTACTAATGCATTCATACGGTGTATTAAAAATTGTTCATCGTACTTTTTGTTAAGAAATACATTTTATTTTAGGTACTTTCGAATAAATTAGAAATGTTCATGATGATTTTGGATGTTTGAAAAATAAAAATCGTTTAAATATTAACAAAATTAAATTTCTTGACTTTACGAACTAGTTACTTATTACAGATAACAAATTACATAATAATAAATTACAGGTAACAAAATATTTTTGAAGCAAAATCGAATACAAAAAAAACAGTAAATACATAAAAAAATTCTTTAAAAAAAAAACTACATAACATATTTACATAAAATGATAAAATTTGTAACCCATTTTTCTTAAAACTATAGTTATATTTGATGAGAAAAGCAATTAATTGTATGACATAAATTTACTTATATATTCAACTAAATTCACAAAATTTTTTAATTTTCTTTTATTAGAGATTAAATTACATACTTATTTAAATTGTTCAAATCTTAACATTAGTAGATAATTGATTAAATTATATTTGCTACAAGCAACAAAATAAAATTTAAAGTTCTTACAAATTAAAAATACTTCGTTGATGTCGAATCGCTTTTTTCTAATGCTTGTATCCATTTGTCCCTGATGACTTCGTTCTTTGGTAAAGTAAATGTGGGTATAGTATTTACGTTCTCCTTTTTTCATAGACTGTTGCTTCTGCATCCTTCGATGCAACAACCTCGTGGCGTTTATATGACGCAACACCTATTTATATGAATATAATTAAATATAATATTATATTTTATTTAAATAAAATTTTAACAAGTACAATAAAGTTTTAACAAGTACACTGAATCTTACTAATTTATTAAGTCATTTTTTCTTTTAAATAAATTTTAGTACTATTTTTTCAAATTTACCTTTGTTTTATACTAAATATTATACACAAAAGACAAGATTTAATTAATATAAATTATAAATCTTCATTTTATTTAATAACACAAAAAATTAATATAATTATTCACTAAATTTAAATTTTAAACAGCAAATAAATTATTTTACCGCTCTGCGGAACAGCCTTTCTGTACGAAATTTAAATATGGACTAAAAATAAATTTTTGTATAACCTTATTCAATAGGCACAAATACAAAAATATTTACATTACTTGTACATTATAGGAGTTTATGTTTCGAGTAATGTCTTTATATCTAACAAGTCCCAATGCTAAGAGAGAAACTTGAAAGCACTACCTTATTTAATATGGTTTTTTTTAAATCGAAGTGGCTATTTTTTGAGAAGAAATATTAACATAAATTCCCACTTATTACAAAGCAGGTAAAATTTTGAAAA